TGAGAGCAGAGCTGTATGCCACAGTTAGTATCTAAGGTTGTGGTCTTGTGTGTTTCTCTCAACCAGCATTTCTTGGTTTTAATTACTGTCTGATTTAGAGGAGGAAGCTGGAATACTAGAGAAAAAGAAAATAGAAAATAAAAAAATAAAGAAGGCAAAACCAGATATGTTTGAGGAAGTGGACTTTTCCATGAAAGCTCACATTAACAGATAGCAGTTAGTCTTTAACCTTTTTGGTCTTCTTTATTTTTTAGGGGTTTTGTTGTTGTTGTTTCTACTTTTAAATGTTATTTTCTTGTAAAAATATGCCCATCCGTCTGCTCCAGTGTTTGCTCCTTCTGTCTTTATAGCCCTGTTTGCCTCATCGCCTTGTTTCCTCAGCTTGGGGAAAGAGTTCTGCTACCTTGGGAAGGAAAGCCCACCACTGCCAAAATCCTGTGCTCTTTCCTGCAGCCAACGGCACAGAAACGGTGGCCCAGCCGCTCCCGGATGGTACCTATAGTCTCCATGGTTTGAAGTGGTTCATCTCAGCCACGGATTCTGATGTAGCTCTGACATTGGCACGAATCTTGGCTGCTGACGGGCAGGTGGAACAGGTCAGATTGGGAACAGGCATGGAAAAAGGGGAAGCAGCCATGTGAAAGCGGGAACCTTGTTAATCTTGTCCTGGTAGCAGTTTTACTCATCTTTTTCCTTTTTCCTTTTGGGCATCTTTTTGGTTGCAGGGTTCCAAAGGCCTGTCTCTTTTCTACCTGAAAGTCCGTGATGCAGAAGGGAAACTGAATAAGATCGAGACACATCGTCTTAAAGACAAGCTGGGCACAAGGCAACTACCAACCGCTGAACTGTTTCTAGATGGAGCCAAAGCACTGCGGGTAAGCAAAACAAAGGGGCATTGCTCCCCCCAGATGACTTCTCTGCTCCCCAGCTCCATGGGGCAGGCAAAGAAAGGGCTCCAAGCAGGGCAGCTGGGCTCTGTGAACTTTGGGAAGGAATGGAATCTTCCTGGAGCAACAAAACCTGACATTGGTACTTCTCCCTTCCATCTGAGGAGGCAGCAGGCATCCTGGGACCTTCCGGTTACCTGGAGGAGCTGCTCTTTGTTTTGCCCCTAAATACCTCAGAGAATTTTATCAAAATCATACTAGGTCTTATTTTCAGGTCAGGTCTTATTTTAGGGGAAACAGGGCATGTCCTTTCCAAAGGACCACATTTTAAAAAATAAGCACATGGTTTATTTGAAAGTTTCAGAGAAAAACAATCCAGAAGTAAACAAAACTCATCTCCGTGCAAATGTCTGGAATCGCTTTTTTTTCCTGCAAAGTTTCCACTGCTTTGCTCAGACATTAAATAGCCAAGAAGAGCATTATTACAGACTTGTCAGCCTCAGGAGGTAGAAGAGAGGTATCAAAAGTGCTTCGCTTTTACCCTGGAACAATTCAACCCATATTACGAATTTCCAACTGACTTTTGACTGCTTGTAGATCTCTGCAGAAGGCCAGGGTGTGGCTACCATTGCCCACATGTTGACGATCTCAAGGATCCATAATGCTATAGGTGCAGTTGCATTTATGAGAAGGTGAGTCCCAGGCCCCTGGCCATCATCATAGTCATTGACTTAACGCTATCCAAAGGCAGACTTAAGCAAGCAAACCAGCTGGCAATGAAAAAAGATTTGTGAATGCAC